AAGTGGATGCACACAGGCGCACGGGCAGTGTGTAACCAGCGAAGACTGAAGACGGGGAGGAAGAGATAGGGCCCTGCGGTACCTAGTCCCGCTGTCCTAAAGGGACCGGGACTCTGTGTAACCCAGAGGCGGAATGCAGTGTGTGTAGCCAGAGGCATAGGGTCTACACGAGTCAAGTGAAGTGTGTGTAGCCAGAGGCATAGGGTCTACACGAGTCAAGTGAAGTGTGTGTAGCCAGAGGCATAGAGTCTACACGAGTTAAGTGAAGTGTATAGTCAGAAGAATAGAGACCACACGTTGTATCGTGACACGTCAAGATTTAATAAAAAGTGTGTTACCCGTCAAGGAGTTCCTGCCGTCATTTCCAATACTTCATAGGTAAGAAACAGGGGAGGAGCCAGGGAGGAGAGATAGATATGGAGGTGTGGGGTAGGGGGAGTGGAGCGCTGCTAGAGGGATAAGGAAACGAGCAAGGAAATGCCGGGGGGGGGGGGGGGGGGGGGAGAAACTAGAGATGTGGATATGAAGGGGGCTTTTGGCTGAGTTTAGGGGGATTTTGGCTGAGTTTAGCTCTCTCGCACAACGAGGCTTATAACGGCTGTGGCGTGGCCGGCTCCGCCCTCGGCTACGCCCCTTTCCCGAACCTTCGGGAAGGTCCAGGTCCCTTACCACGTGACTACAGCGCCCCCATCTGATGTCCCCTGGCCCCCCTTCGTCCGGTCACGTGCCCTATCGGGTTCACGCAGAGTGTCACGGCCTGACGCGACCTCAGTGACACCGTGGCGCTCTCCACCTGCAGTACCCGTCATCACCTGGTAGTGTCTCAGCACAGTAGTGACATCATTCATGTTTCTACAGACGTAACTTCTACGAAAATACAAAGATCCTCCGTATAGCCTTTACAGACTGTTGGGGAAAGTGCTATTAGCGAGTACGGCACATGAGGGGGTGGGTGGCCAACACCATGCCCGGCCGCCTTTGTCTCCCCAGTGGCGATTTTTACACATCGCACCAGATACGCATTTGAGACTGAGTCGACCTAGGGGAGGCCCAATACCGGTTCAGAAAATCGTCACTGGTGTTGGCCATGAGCGGGAATACAACAACAACCGCCATTCGCCACTAAGTGGCGGTGACGTCACCACGACGATTGTGCCAGGCCATGTGCACCTTGAGGCCACGTGAAGTGTCGAACGCCCGCTGGCAGGAGGTCACGGGGCAGACCCAGGTTCCACGGGTCGACTGACTGAGATGACCGAGATGACTGGCTGATGCACCATCTGTGCCCCCTACTGTGCTGTGCTTTAGCCACCCGGCGCTCCGCTCGTTGTTGTGAGCGTCGCTCCTCCGCCCTCCGTTGTTGTTGGAGGGCGACTGCCTCCAACTGCCCAGTAGCGTCCTTCACGAGCCTCCTCCACAGAGGCCGATCTTGACACCGCTGATACCAGTCATCGGCAAGTCCACTCAGCTCCACGTCCTCCTGTACCACATCACTCCGTCCTTCTCTAGCCCGTGCCGCGCCCATTTAGCCCCCTCGATCCGGCCGAACAAAAGCTGTTTCGGCATGCGGTGGCTGGGCATGCGGGCTACATGACCCAGCCAACGCAGCCTTAAAATACACGCACATACATACAAACACACCCACGCAACTGCCAACATGCATGCATTGCCTATACTGACATGATATTGTTCCACCATTGCAAAGTTTAATTCATGGTGCATGTGCTTACATTTTACAAAGTAGGAAAATGCCCGCCTACAAAGGATGAGGTGACATTACGTGACAACATCAGTGCCAGGCGTCAAGCACGATTTTCCAATTACTGCACGAAAGTGCTAATCGTCATATTCAGCAAATAATTTCCTCCGAGTGAACGTAGGGAGAGGACGCGCTCGCCATTGCAACGAGTGGCCCTTCATTTTTAAATCCTTTATATTAAGTTCGCTTGCTTGCTTGCTTACGACCGTGCAAATCTTTCGGTCGTTTTTTAACCCACTTCCCGTGATCCAATCGAGCTGACATTTTGCACACAGACTCGTTGTGCGTGACAATTAATTTTCGTGAAAAAACATTTCCAAAATTTTACACTGTTTAGGGAATTTTTTAAAAATATTTAATTACCAATTGCTTAATGGTGGCAATCATCTGACCCATAGGTGGCAGCCACCTCAAGCCAGAGGACGAGAGGACTCTAGCCGCCACGCATATAAAGGATTTATAGTGAAAAACTTTGTTTTTACGGGTTAATTTTTTTGCAAGGTTCACTTTGAAAAAGAATAAAACAAGTAAACCCGTAAAAACAAAGTTTTTCACTATAAATCCTTTATATGCGTGGCGGCTAGAGTCCTCTCGTCCTCTGGCTTGAGATGGCTGCCACCTATGGGTCAGATGATTGTCTGCCAGTATTAAGCAATTGGTAATTAAATATTTAATTTGTTTTCCCTAAACAGTGTAACGAGTCTGTGTGGAAAATGTCAGCTCGATTGGATCACGGGAAGTGGGTTAAAAAACGAGCGAAATATTTACACGGCCCTAAGCAAGCAAGCGAACTTAATATAAAGGATTTAAAAATATATTCGCCTGTGGAGGACGCGGGATCGATCCCGCGACCTTTGGCATGGGAAGTGAGGGCGCTACCAACTGCGCTACTCCGCCACGGCCTGTGGAGGGGTTACGCTCTGGGCTCCTACACTGTGACGTTCAGCCAAAGCCATGAATGAGTTCTATTTGAATAAATGTAAAATCATTTTTTTTGCCTAAAAAGTGTAAAATTTTTGATTTTTTTTCACGAACATTAATTGTCTCGCACAACGAGTCTGTGTGCAAAATGTCAGCTCGATTGGATCACGGGAAGTGGGTTAAAAAACGACCGAAAGATTTGCACGGTCGTAAGCAAGCAAGCAAGCACGCAAGCACGCAAGCACGCAAGCAAGCAAGCAAGCGAACTTAATATAAAGGATTTAAAAATGTCGGAGGTTGCAAAGTGTGGTTTACGTGTGGTTTGTTCAGTCAGCTTCACTCACTTCTGGTTGACAATTCCCAGGACGTGCATTTAGTAAAGGCTCAGAAATGAATGAGATGTGTTTCCTCTGTTGACAGTGCAGTTGACTGGTGTATGTGTTTATTTTTAAATTAGTTCATAAAGCCTGTCTTCGCCAGGCAAAAGTTTGAAATAAATATAATAATTAAATTGATGCTTTTTTATAATTTGTATCTACAGACACTGACAACGACTTCAAACATTTGTATTTTTCCGCAAAAAAACACAAACATTGTTGACTTGATTCAACGTCTTTTATTTAAAAACGTAACCATCGGAAACCACCTGATTTAAATATTTCGTTCTTTTTTATTAGAAAGAATAAAAATTTCAGAATAGGTTTTCCCCATTTTTCTGGCAACCAAACGCCTTTTGGCGTCCTCTGGTCTAATACCGTTTGAGACTAGGCTCAAAAGAAAGCTGTCTCTGGTGTGGACCAATCAGTTTCAAAGACAATGCATATATTATCAGAGTATATTTTTTTGTTTGCATTCTGACCACAAGTATTGTGGTTAATGCAGACATGATTCCTTGTAAAATGTTTCAGTTTGGTGTTTTTAACATCTGAACACTTGTTTTGTTACCAGAAAAAAGGGGAAAACCTATTCTCAACAAATTGTTTTTAACTTAATCGTCTATGAGGGCAAGCTATGCTATCTTTTACAGTTTTTGAATAATTAAGATTTGAACATAATAAAATAGGGATTTTTTTTCTTTCAAAACCGCTTGAATCCGAAATATCTCAAAAACAATAAAAGAAAGAACAATGGTTCTCGCCTTAATTTTATTTGTCAGTTGACACTCTATCAATCGAAAAAACCCACACTATTTCGAACGGTATCTGGATGAAACCACGATCAAACGTGTTTTATGGGGCACTAAGTATCGAGATTTGGGCCTTAAAAGAAAAATCTCGAATTTTCATATTTGTCCTGTTGTTGTTTTTGTACTAAAAGCGAGATGTGTACCACATTTCTGCTTTCTACCTTGTCTGGAAGTACCCTACAGGTTTTTTTAGACATACAGATTGAGGTCTTTATTTATATGGAAGATTATTTTATTATCGTTATATTTGACAGTGAAGTTGACTGTTTGACGTGTTTTAAATACAATTTCTATAAATACGCTATGGGTGACAGTCATTTATTTAAATATAAAGTGTGTAAGTATGTACGCATGTCGAACTTATTTTGCACCGTACGTAGCCAACCATGCTAATCGGAGGTGCGGGGGAAGGACAACAAACTCAACATAAAAAGCAGTTCTTAAGAAATGAGTTTTCAACTGAGATTATTTAACAATGCATAGCTCTAGTGGCTTCCTAATATCAGAAGGAAGAGCGTTCCAGATGGCCGCACCTGTAATCGCGCGATTGGAGAGTGATCCGCGCGTGTTTATCAATTGGGTTCGGACCTCTCGCCGGGAGCTACAGCCAGCATCATCAAGCAGCTGCCAGAAATCGGAAAATGTCCTCCAGTCAACTTCGCGAATTGGCTGTGCCAGGTGGAAGAGGTTTTACCACACACATTTTTCTCACGCGATCTGACTTAAACATCAACGTGGAATCATAAAACAGTATGGGTCGCGAGAGAGATATGGCGAGGGAAAGATAAGCGAGATGACACTACGTGCACAAAGATCCTACGAATCCGGAGATGAATCCTGAGTTTGATTCGGGCTCATGGCCAACATCAGCGACGAATATCCAAAGCGGTCCCTGGGCCTCCCCGAGGTCGACTCGGCCTTAAATGAGTACCTGATGCAATGTGTACACATTTCCACCGGGGAGACAAAGGCGGCCGGGCGTGGGTTTAACCGCACCACTCACCCCCAAGTCATCCGAGTGCACCGTAGGCCGGCCTCCTCCTTGGGTGCTCGCTAAGCGGCCGCCCCCCCCTGCCCCACCAAATATATTGGCAAAGGCTACCCGGGATGGAGCTTTTGCCTTTGTGTCCCCAGGCGTGCGGAGGAGGCCCCGCTCGTGCGCAACTGGGTCCCATACCTGGGCTCGGCTCTGCGCTTCGGAGCCCAGCCGCTGGCGTTCCTGCGCGAGCAGCAGGCGCGGTACGGCGAGGTGTTCACGTGCCTCATCGCGGGCTCCTACACCACCTTCATCTGCGACCCCTTCTCCTACGGCACCCTCCTGCGCAACGATCGCGCCTTGGACTTCGAGAAGTTTGGTCAGAAAATCGCCAGGACTGTGAGCACACTTTACACCGCGCGTCCGCGTGTCTGTGTGCTGTGTGTGGGGAGCGGTAATATAACGGTTAGCGCGCTGCATTACGAACCGGGCTTCCCCAGTTCGATTACCGCTCACGGTCAACACCTCCATACCACACAACTCCACACACCGCCTGTGTACCACACACAACTCCACACACCGCCTATTTACCACACACAACTCCACACACCACCTGTGTACCACACACAACTCCACACACCACCTGTGTATGCATTTTTTAATGTCGATGCGAGCCTTGCCCTCCGTTGTGCCGTGGCCTTGGCAAGTAGGTGTTCGGCATCGTGGACTTCTTTGACCCTCGCTACAACGTCACGATCGAGGAGATCCACGACATCTTCGGGAAGACTCTGACTGGAACCGAGCTGCATTTGCTCACCGAGAGCATGCTGGGAAACCTGCACAACTACCTCGTGGCAGGTACGGAGGGGCTCGGCGGAGTGCTTGTGGAGGTGCCTTGTGACGAGGCCGCCAATCTTTCAGATCAAGAGGATATTCTGTAGGGTGTCCATAAAGGCGTCATATTTGCAAAAAAAACATGCTCGGTCCACTGCTGGATGAAGGCCTCCCTAAGCCGCCGCCGTCTCCCACCACGTCACAATCTGTCTAGCGCCCGCACGCGAGCCGATTTCATCGCTCCAACTCAGCGTGCGTATTTCTCCTCCTTTGGCTGCCGTTCCGTTGTTGGTCTCGACCGCCGACCGTCATCCCTTCCGGCCACGTGTCCTGCCGAAGCCCACGTAACGTTTATTCACGGTCGGTGCGATGTCTAAACGGAGCAGGCGTGTTCTCCAAACCTTTCCTGGTCTCGGCAGTCGCGGTCGGAATTCTAAGGGAGCACCGCTCCACGCCACCCTGCGCACTTTTCCACTGTTGCTGGACGTCGTTCGTTCTCCTTCCCTGACGCTGTCCTCAAGCGCCCCGAGCGTGTCGCAGTGCGATACGGCGAACCAGGCACTGCCTTCAAAATCCCCACAGTACACCAAGTGAAACTGCACCATTAGTATTTGTCATAAGAAAGACAAGCCACTAGTAGTACGATTTTAGCCACGCAACCCAAAGCTGTGGGCCATATAGTAAACCAATAGAGACACGTAGAGACCCATAGAGACTCACAGAGCTACATAGAGATACATGCAATTAAAACCAGAGTGCAATTGTGGCCATGCAACTCAAACTTTGGATCGTATAGCAAACCCATAGAGACCCATAGAGATACACAGAGATGCATAGAGATACATAGATATAGATTCAAAACAAGCCACAGGAGTGTGATTGTGGTGATCCAACCCGAACTATGGACCACGTAGTAAATCCACTGTGGTATGCACTCCATTAATGGAGGAGGATCCGCAAAACGACACGAACTCTCTCCTGAAGCCCTCTCATCGTGGCCAGCAGCAGACCTCGACGCTGGCATCTCGCGCCTGAACCACATTGCTGCTACTGCTGCTGCTGCGAGAACCTCTGATTAGCCACGGTTGGCTACGCACACAGAATATTATATCTAACGAGTGTGACGATTTTAGTTAAATTATAATTGTACCCATGGCGTGTTCCACCCGGTCTCGCCTATCACTAGCGGCCCGTACCAGTGCTGACATTCGTCTCTACGCCGACCCCCAGGTCGTGCTGTGAGGGATGCTGGCGCTCGCGGTGCCGGCGGCGCTGGCGGCGACGGCTGGCAGGAGGAGGGTCTGAACGAGTTCTGCAGGCGCACCATGTTCCGAGCCAGCGTCGAGACCGTTTTCGGCCGAAATATGTTCGACGCCGAGTCCTTGCTCGCCGAGCTGCTCAAGAGTTTCAACGACTTCGACCGAGCCTTCCCCCTCCTGGTGGCCGGCGTGCCGCTGTGGACGATGCCCGCGGCGAGGCGAGGGCGCGAGGCGCTGGAGACGGCGCTCGGGAAGGTGGCGCCCGGCACGATGGTGGAACCGGCGGCTCTCATCGTGCAGAGGGCGAATCTGTTTGAGGGCTCGCCCCTGCTGGGGAAACTGGACAAGGCTCGCACGCACTTCATCATGATGTGGGCCTCCCAAGCCAACTCTTTGCCGGCAACCTTCTGGACTCTCTTCTACTTGCTCCGGTAACATTTGGAATTGGTTTAATTTTCGAACGAATCTTCTTCTTTTGTACAAATTGAATAATGAGACAGTAAAATCTCCTTCGCATATCCGTCAAAACAGATTTTGATGATGAGCCACTGCATTTATAAACCGGTCCAGAGTTTTGCTTGTGTTGAGCCAACGCTGCTAAAATTAGGCACTCCCTGTAGGTCATGTGGCTCATGGGATGTGTAAAAAAACAACAACGATGTAGAGGTTTTTTTTGCATATTTATTTTCTTCTCGAGCATAGCATTTGAAAGGCAGCTGATTGAATAGTTCCTCTGTGGAGATGAGAGAAGCCATGCAATGGTGTCTGGGGTCGGGATGGGTACAGCAGGACACCTGTAACCCACGGTGACATGGGGGGTGCGGGGGCGGGGGGGACAAGATGACAGATCCCGTGATCCCCCTCGACACGCCGCGGTGGTCAGCTCTGTAATAGGCGATTTCTTTATAGCGCTGATGCGGTATCCCACGTATCACAGACGTAGGGTAAGTATGGGGTGTGTCGGGTAGGGGTCATGCCTCCTGAAAGGGGAACAGTAGCGCTCTCCCAGTGGTTTGCCATCTTTGGTCGCTCCCGGTTCCCAGATGTCAGCTGTGGCAGAGGCCACACTGCAGTACACCGTCTTGACTAGTGGACAAAACCAGGTGAAGGTAGCCAACGGGTCTGCAACCTTTGGTGAGACGAGGCCACGCCGACCCCTGCATGCAAACACTTCTCCCGGTGGAGATCAATCTGCTCTTCCAAGGGTCATGGAGGCGACTAAAGCAGAGGAGAACCGCCGATGCAGAGAGGAGAGAGGTCTACAAAGCAAGAATTCCCAACTCCTCTGTCAATGGCCTCAGATCGCGTGTCTCTCGTGCAACAGCTGGTTCTTTCGCGACCAGATTGGGTTCATCGACCATCTACGGACTCACGTCATCCAACTCCTAGGAAGGGAGTTCACCTGGGGGGCTCTGTCAGCAGGAACCCCTAGGACAGGAGCTCTTTTTGTGGGCTTTATTGGGATGAGCCGCTAGGAAGTTAGTTCGCTTTGGGGTGCTTTGCCAGGAAGGACCATCGGGGTCGGCGCTGGAGCCTCAGGGAGGGCCAATGCTGCTCCGCGCTGATCTGTGCGCGTGTGCGGCCGGTGTCGTAGTGTAGCGGTTAGCGCTGCACTGTGCTACGAACCCGGAGACCCGAGTTCAATTCCTGCTCACGGCCAACATCAGTGACGATTATCTGAACCCGTCCTGGGTCTCCCCGAGGTCAACTCAGCCTCAAATAAGTACGTGGTGCGATGTGGAAACATCGCAACCGGGGAGACAAAGGCGGCCGGGCATGGTGCTAGCCACCCACCCCCTCGTGTGCAGCGCCGACCTTTATTGTTGCTCGCTAACAGCAGTTGCCCCAACAGTCTGTTCAGGCTACACGGGGGATATTTGCCTTTGTGTGGTAAGCGTTGTGCGTGCGGTTGTGTCCGCGTGTCGTGCAGGAGCACGCCCGCGCTGAAGGCAGTGCGCGCTCAGCTAGGGGAGCTGCTGGGCCACGAGGCTCGGGAGCACGGCAAGGCCTTCATCATCACGAGGGAGCAGCTCAACAAGATGACCGTCCTCCGTGAGTGCTCTCCGCACCAGGGCAGCCTGCCGGATTCGAATCATGAACCTCCGCGGCAAGTGGCCATTGGTCGACCGTTGGGCCAGGTCACTGCCCCAAAAATGGTGTTTTATGTAACATCACTTGCCTATGGATTATCACATTTATTTATTCATGTCACATCTTGGGCCTTACCTGAACCTTTGCAATGACCGACACGAACATAGAGCCAGTGTGCGCGCACAGGGCGCGGGTGAGCGCGGTTACCCTGCAAGCTGCACAGTACACGCATGGGTCATGGGGAGTTGCAGGTAATCGGGAGTTGATTCTGCAGAGGCCAGCTCTGTGTCATACCTCGTCCGTCCCCCTCCCTCTCGACAGACAGCATAGTCAACGAAGCCCTGCGCCTTTCCAGCGCCTCCATGATCGTCCGCCAGACCAAGGAGGACGTGACGCTGAAACTGGACTCGGGGCGCAGTGTGCTCGTGCGCAAGGGTGACATGGTGGCGGTCTACCCAAAGATGATGCACTTTGACCTGAGCATCTACCCGGACCCCACGGTGAGCCTCCCTCCCTCACTCCCTCCACACTTATCCTATCCCGTCAGCGTGCAGCGTCCGTTTACAAACTGGTCAACTGCCCATCTGGCCATCATGCGTAAACCCTGCGGCAATTACGGTTAGATAACTTACTTGCTTTGTCAATCCACTGCTGTGTGAAGGTCATGGGATTTATTTGACCGTACTTCACCACGCCGGCCGGTGAGGGACGGTGAAGGGAATGCGTGGCGGAGGGGCCCAAGATTCTAATGTCACTCGCCACTCGCGGTTGGAAATAAAACTCAGACCGCCGGGATCATAGAGCAGTGCACGAAGCACTGCCACGTTTTTTCAGTCGAAAAAGCATTGACGGCTGTGACGCGATGGGACACGTCACGCCCAAAGTCTATCCGCCCCAGCAATGATGTGGTGCTGCCATGGTCCATAATAGCTTTGGAGAGTTTATGCACCTAAATCTATCGTACAAATAATAATGTCTAAAAGGTCTGAATTTTGGCCACCCCACCCATGCACCCTAGGAGTTCAAGTTTGACCGTTTCCTGGGCGAGAACCTCAAGGAGAAGACCACGTTCACCCAGAACGGTCGCCGGCTCTCCCCATACCTCATGCCGTTCGGCATGGGGAAGAGCTTGTGTCCCGGACGGTTTTTCGCCATAAACGAGATTAAGCTGGTGGTCACCATGCTGCTGTGGAACTACGACCTAGAGCTCTTGGACCCCGGGGTCGCACCTCCTCCCTTAAACAACGCTCGTGCCGGCTTGGGCATCTTGCCCCCCATGCACGACGTCAAGTTCCGCTACAGGTTCAAGGGCCAAGTCTTGCCCGGTCTGTAAAGCCTGCGGCCAGGGTACAGAAAATCCCCCTATCGTGTTGTCGTTTAGTCCAGGCAGAGCTAGGGTTGTGATAACATCCTAGAATAGGACCGCGAGATTGGGAAATTGCTGGCAATCTGCACGCATTACAAATCCTAATGCATTTTCGGAAGCGATTTGCATGAATGATTCAATAAAAAATACATTAGATCATTAACATAATATATTCAAACAAAAGTATTAAACAAGAACCCAATACAGAGCACGAGCAACGTTGAAGGGGGAGTAGAGACGCCTTCGCGAACGACAAAACCTGGGGCCACGTGACCTCGGAGTAGGGACCGGGAAAGTTTGCTGGGCTCACTGCCCTACTCACATAGGGGGCAACGATCGGTATTTTATGGGTGGGGAAGGTTAGGGAAGCGGGGGGAGAGAATGTACCCAAACAGAACCCGAAGTGAGTTTGTCATTAACATAGGATTGAAGCTTTCGTGACTGCTGAAATTACTGTACTCATTGGTTTTTTCGGTGAAGTCACGTATGTAGAAATAAAATAAAATGTAACTAAATAAAATTAAAGCATCTTTCCCTGTGTGTTCTTCTCTGTATGTATCTCTGCTACCTTGTACCTCGCATATGTTCACTCTGTCTGCGTTGGTATGTTCAGCCCAGAAGTTGAACACGAAATTTAGCAGTCTTTTGAAATACGTGGTAGTTTCTGACTGTGTTGTTGGCCGACTGGTTTTGCATCACATTGTGTTTCTAAGGTTTGTTGAGTTCTCGTCTCCCATCTTGTTGTTGTTTGCCTCCGTGCAGTTTACCGTTCTCTGTGTTTGGTGTCTCCGTGTGTTCCCTTGGTGTGTTTTACCCCATTTCCACCTGATGATGATCACTTGTGTTGTGTTCGAAACGTCGTAATTTATTTTAATTTAATTACATTTTATTTCTTGTCATTATTGTTAATCCCCGGGAGCAGTGGCCACCTCATGCCTCTCCAAGGGGTAATATGTCAGGAGTCCCCCCCCCCCGGCCCTCAATTTCATGCGCATTCCCGCAGGGTTTAGATGTTCTTTTTAAATTTTAATCATTTTTCTTATTTTACCAGGGAAGGTCCGCTGAGCTATGTTGCTCTTTTTCAGAAGTGACCTGGCTTTCACAAATGATAGCCCAATGAAGTGGCTGATCATGTGGAAATGAATAGCAGCCAAATACTCTAAACGCATGATGTTGATTCTAAATGTGTTAGGAAAACCCGGAGGATCCGGAGAAAAATCCACGTGACCACGGGGAGAGAGGACACGCAAACTCCAAATATATAGGTGTATATACACTTCACGTAGCCTCAAAGTGCATCTAAACTGGCACAAGCGCCGGGGTTGATGTCACTGCCATTTAGTGGTGAACGATGGTTGTTATATTGTGTGGATGAATGCGTCAAGTGTGGAAATTGACGTCTCAAATCTGAATCTCTTCTGCGAATAAGCCGCAAACGTCAACCTGCGATTTCGAATAAACCGCTTGAATAAAGCAACTTGAGTGTGTTTGTCTGCCTCCCCGTGTCTCTCCCCTGTCGGTGTTTCCCCCTGTTTGGGTCTCCCTATCTCCTCCTGTTTGGGTCTCCCCGTATCTCTCCCCTGTCTCCACCTGTGTGGATCTCCCTGTGTATCTACCCGTGTGTGGGTCTCCCTTGCCCCCCGTGTCTGTCCCCTGTGTGGGTCTCCCTGTCGCCCCGTGTCTCTCCCCATGTGTGGGTCTCCCTATGTCTGTCCCCTGTATGGGTCTCCCCGTGTGTCTCCCCTGTGTGGGTCTCCCTATCTTCCCGTGTCTCTGCGCTGTACGGGTCTCCTCTGTCTCCACGTGTCACTCCCTCTGTCTGGGTCTCCCTGTCTCACCCTGTCTCCACTGTGTCTCCTCCTGTATCTCTTCTGTCTCCCCCTGTGGCTCCTCTGTCTCCCCCTGTGTCTCCCAGTCTCTCCTCTGTGTCTCTCCTCTGTCTCCCCTTGTGTGTATCCCAGTCTCTCTCCCGTCTCTCCTCTGTGTCTCCCCCCGTCTCTCCTTTGTGTCTCTCCTCTGTGTCTCCCCCTGTCTCTCCTGTGTCTCTCCTCTGTGTCTCCCCCCGTCTCTCCTCTGTGTGTCTCTCCTCTGTGTGTCTCCCCCTGTCTCTCCTGTGTGTCTCCCCCGTCTCTCCTCTTTGTGTTTCTCCTCTGTGCGTCTCCCCTGTCTCCCCTCTGTGTCTCTTCCTGTCTCTCCTCTGTCTCCCCCTGTGTCTCTCCTCTGTGTCTCTCCTCTATGTCTCCCCCTGTCTCTCCTCTGTGTGTCTCCCCTCTGTCTCCCAGTCTCTCCTGTGTCTCCCCTCTGTGTCTCCCCTTGTGTGTATCCCAGTCTCTCTCCCGTGTCTCTCCCCATGTCTCTCCTCTGTGTGTCTCCCCCCGTCTCTCCTGTGTCTCTCCTGTGTCTCCCCCTGTATCTCCCCTGTGTGTCTCTCCTCTGTGTCTCCCCCCGTCTCTCCTCTGTGTGTCTCCCCCTGTCTCTCCTGTGTCTCCCCCGTCTCTCCTCTTTGTGTCTCTCCGCTGTGTGTCTCCCGTCTCCCCTCTGTCTCCCCCTGTGTCTCTCCTCTGTGTGTCTCTCCTCTATATGTCTCCCCCTGTCTCTCCTCTGTGTGTCTCCCCTCTGTCTTCCAGTCTCTCCTGTGTCTCTCCTCTGTGTCTCTCCTCTGTGTGTCTCCCCCTGTGTGTCTCTCCACTGTGTCTCCCCCTGTGTCTCTCCTCTGTGTCTCCCAGCCTCTCTTCTGTGTCTCCCCTGTGTGCCTCTCCTCTGTGTCTCCCCTCTGTGTTTCTCCTCTGTGCCTCTCCTCTGTGTCTCCCCTCTGTCTCTCCTCTGTCTCTCTCCTCTGTCTCTCTCTCCCCCTGTGTCTCTCCTCTGTGTCTCCCCTCTGTGTCTCCCCCTGGCTCTCCTCTGCGCATCTCTCCTCTGTACGTCTCCCAGTCTCTCCTCTGTGTGTCTCCCCGCTGTCTCCCATCTTCCTGCGGCCTGAAGTCCGCCGTGCGATAAACGTCACATCCGGCCGCGGGATAATTCTGACGTCACGTCCGGTCATGACGCCACATCCGATTCAAGAGCACATCCGGCTGTGGTCGTGTCGTCACTTCCGCCGTGCGGGTGACGTCGTCAAAGCGAGGCTCCGGCACGAGGAGGCGGCTGCGGCATCACCGCGCGCCGCCATCATGGCTATGCAAGCAGCGAAACGCGCGAATGTGAGCAGAGAGGCGGCACGGGGTGGTGGTGGTGGGGGTGGTGGTGGTGGGGGGAGATACACGGGGAGAAGGGGGGAAATACACGGGGAGAGAGAGACTATTCTATATTACTCCCGGGAGACAGACGCGGGGAGATACAGGCGGGATGGGGGGAGATGCGGGGAGATAGAGAGACAAGTGGATGGAGAGACGGAGAGAGAGAGATCGTGCCGTGTCTTTTTTAAGAGAAGTGTTGAGGCTGGGTCGTGAGTGTATCCCTGGGTTGGACGCGCGCGATAAATACAACCACAAGCAGTACGCGCGGTGTCTGTGTGCGTGTTCAGGTGCGCCTGCCCCCAGAGGTGAACCGCATCCTCTACGTGCGGAACCTGCCCTACAAGATCACTGCCGAGGAGATGTACGACATCTTCGGCAAGTACGGCGCCATCCGACAGATCCGAGTGTAAGTGATGATGTTTGTGTAGGTGTTGTTTACTCTGGGTACCGATTCTTACGACTCATTTAAAACTGTTCATCAGCACAGGTCAAATGGAATTTTCATCAGGACCCCCCATGGTGTTACACTAAGTGCATTCTATATTAGACTGGGGCAAAACATCGGACATCGTGCTGAATAACAAGCGGAGATATGCACGGCACCACAACTGCAGAACAAGTGACGAAACTTGCGGAGTGCAAGTGCAACATCCGACAGGTCCTGCAATCATTGCGTGGGGCAGAGTTGTGGAATTTCATTTCTCCGAATTATGTCAATACCTTGCGCATGAAAAATTTGAGTAACAGGGTGTCTAGCCGTTGTGGCTGAGATATGAGGTACGGTGTTAGGAGCATGTATTGACAGTCTGGTGTGATGCTTGTTTTTTTTATTGTTGTAACATTCTTACTCGCCCCAACTGAACGTGTGTGACAAAGAGCTTTGGAGCTCATCAGATTCTTCCAGTTTAAATATTCTGATTCTATTGGTGGACGCTGCCCTGGGCCGAGGTCGGCGGTTAGACCTCCTGGCACATCTTTAGATCTCCGCCCCCGCCACCTGTTCACCCAGCAGTGTAAATGTGTGCACCGCAGTCGACCAGCAGGTCGCGTTTGGTGGGGTAGAAGAGTCGGCCAATATACCCTGTAGAGGGGCCTCTCTCGAGCTCCCTCTGGTTGGAGGGCCCTTCCCCCAGCAGCGGTGTGTTTGCGAGGAATTGCAGGGCTGCGCCTGTACGCGAAAGTGGGTTGAGGTAACACGTCGTGCGAACGTCCTCTCTGCGGCGCAGAGGCACGACGCCCGAGTCGCGTGGCACGGCATACGTGGTGTACGAGGACATCTTCGACGCCAAGAACGCGTGTGACCACCTCTCTGGGTTCAACGTGTGCAACCGCTACCTCGTGGTGCTGTACTACAACCCCAACCGGGTATGGCGCACACACACACACACAAGACAAAGATCCCCCCGTATAGCCTGAACGGGGTGTTGGGGCAAGTGCTTTTAGCGAGTAGCACCTATGAAGGAAGGCACGGTACACGAGGAGGTGCGTGGCCAGTACCGTGCCCAGCCGTCTTTGTTTTCCGAGTGTATGTATGTTGTACTTCTTTCGCACCGTACGTAGCCAACCGTGCTAATTGGAGGTGCGGGGGAAGGACAACAAACTAACACACAAAAAGCAGATCAAACTAATGGCGATCTTCTTGGTTCTTTCGGTAAAGTCACGTAGAAGGGAAGTAATAAAATAATAAAAATAAAACATAATAAAATAATTCTCACGACGTTTCGGCCACAACGCAAGCAGCCGTCCTCAGGTGCGCAAACCAGGTCTGTCGAGGCGACAGCGTCTGTCTTCTATGTGACTTTACCGAAAGAACCAAGAAGATGAATCCCTGCAGTCACGAAAGCTTTAAATCGAAACTAATGGCGATGTTTACACATTGCATCAGGTACTCATTTGAGGCTGAGTCGACCTAAGGAAGGCCCGGGACAGGTTCAGATGAACGTCACACGAACCCGCATGCACACACTCGCACGCGTGCGCACGTGACTGGGGGCGTGACGGACAGCCATCGCATCTCCATGGTCTTCCGCTAGTTGGCAGCTGCATCACGTGATCAGATCTGGCAGTGCGGCTTGCACAGTAAGGGTATCTGCCCAGAGGTTCAATCCTGGTTGGGAGTTGACTCGGCCCATAATCTCTCCAGGGTCGATAGAACAGTCGTCCTATGGATATACTCCCCCCTGTCATAGGAATATGGAATTTTCACCACTGACTGCAGAGCTTTAAACAGGAGATGAGCACCAATGCCTCAATGCGGCTCATTTGCGCAGGAAGCCATTTTTGACTTTCAGGTCTCTGAACAACCGAGTTTCCGTTTGTGGTAATGTGTGAGTGCGCACTGCACTGTTTGATGGTTTTAAATGAGTGGCCTTGCCGTGACTGCGGAGTGCAGGCCTTCCAGAAGCTGGACACGAAGAAGAAGGAGGAGCAGCTCAAGAATTTGAAAGACAAGTACGGCATCAGCACCGACAAGAAGTGAGGCGCCAGCCTGCAGGAATAAGGGATGGGGGGCGTTCTCCGTGACCATTCCACCAACAAACGAGATTGTGTATGAAGCTTCACGAGTTACGGCCGCTTTTGTGTATAGAGCGTCAGTAATGGCTTTAAATGTAACTGTAAAATGTGTCTTGTTTTTTTAATTTGTTTTGCTAAAGATCTGATTTTTGCGTAGTTTTTTTGTGAAGAGAAGCTGACGGTCCCCTATGCGCGGCAGAACGCAAGTGAAAAGAGTTTTTTTAAGCAGTTCTGTACGAATGATAACTATAGAGTTGACCTTGATGTCGTCTGACAGATAAAACATTGACAGCTCTTGCGTGTGCTCCACTCTCGTCAGCTCTAAATTGTTCCTCCGTAGCAGCAGTGTCCACCGGGAGATGTCAACTCTTGTCGGTGTCCACCTCGGATGTAGGGGTTTCTGGGCGTGGGCAGGACGTTGACTGGTTGCTCGTGTAAGCGTGTGTAAACGTGTCGCGCGACGGTCCCTTTTGAATGGAAACTCCCCGAGTTCACGCGTGGTGTTTCTGAAGACTCCACGTGGCTGGCGAAGGCGTACAACTTAATGAGGTCATCCCGCTCAACTTAACGAGGTCATCCCGCTCAGTGCCGTCGATGGCTCCATCCAGGTGGCACGGTAGATGCGCAGTTGAGAGCTGGGCCTGGGGTACGGATGCCTGGCGCAACTCTTAGGGTGCAAAGTCTGGTTGTAAGTTAAGACAATGAAGCGCCATATAGTTAGGAGAGAACTTGGGGCTGGTGAGAACCACTCATAATTTACATAAATTAATTTGATAAATCACTAAAACATAACTCCCCACAAATATTGTATGAATAAAGAATATAGTCAACAATAATATTCTTCGCTCGGCCACGGACCGCCTGAAGCACATCACGGTGGCCATTTTGCATTGGGTTGTCTTCCTGGCAGCTGATTGGCTCGTGCAGTGGGAGTGGTGACATCCCCAGCAATGGGTCTTACCCGAGTTCATGTTACCATCTCACTGACTCAAGGTTTGGAATCCCTATTTTTATGGTGCTGCTAGTATGTCCACAGTGTTGCGGTGTCGCTAGAAAGCATTTAAGCGTTGATCTGTTTCACGCATTTCTGGTTCTTTCTATGGTCGCTGCCTGCTGGTCTTGCGACGGATTTTAAGAGTGTTTTCTGTCCTAAAAACTAGACATACTTTACCAGGTAAAATCTGCTGAGCTATGTAACTGTTTCAGAAGCGACCTGGTCACTAATGATAGCTCAACTATGTGGCTTATCGTGTGGCAATGTATAGCAAAATACTCCATACACGTGTTTATATTTGTGAAGGGGAAAACCGGAGGACCGAGAGAACAATCCACGGGGAGAACACGCAAACTATAACGATACAGGCGTCGTGGTCGGGTTAAACTCACGACCTTCTGTATACCAGGTAAGGTGGTTAACATCTTGCCACAGTACTCGTGCCCTTGACCTGGACGCTCTGCGCTCACTCCGTGCTCACCGGGGAAGTCTTTTAAGTTGTGGACAGTGCAAGTGGCTCCCCCTTTTGAACAGTGCTTACCCTGGCTGAGATGACATCGAGAGGTGAAGGCGCAGCCTTGCAACTGCTCATTCATGTCACTCCTGGCGGAAGTGTTTCCACTAGAGGGAGCTCCATGGAGCCCCCTGTACAGAATATTTGGCCTACTCTTCCACGTTGGTCAGACGTCTCGGGAGAGCGTGGTGATGTAATCTAGCAGTATTTTTGTGGTTTGAGCAACGGGGAATTTGATTTTGGTCATCGTGAAGATCTGTACCTGTACCACTCCTTCAATCAAGACGGAAAGGCAACAAATCAATTGTATAAATAAATTCTTTATTAAACGTGATTTTATGTTCAGAACTCAATTTGCATTTTGTGGACGGGTCGGCAGCTTTGGCATATTTGAACACAATATGAAGTACCATATGTAAACAGACCACAGTAAATGTGCACTGTAAGTGTGTTGCAAGGCGGCACTGCGATTGAAGATAACTCGTGATCAGAGACATTCTATTGGCTTGGGATAGAGCGTGTGTCGGTGTATGAACAGACCGGTGCTGGCTTCATGGTCACACAACAAACACTCGTCCATAGGCAGGGCTGTGAGAGCACTGCGAACGACACGTTGGGTGAGGGTGAGCTGGCTGGTTGAGAGTGAGGTGGATCGTGAGTTGTGTTTGATGCCCCCCCCCCCCATACGCCGGAGCATATACAAGCGCTTAACATCCTACACCTCATCTCGACACCTTTGGAAGGGCCACTCCCAGTGGAAGCTGTCCCTGTGTGGCACCAAGTGACTCGGAACGTTGCCTACGAGCGGACATCCACTGATAGGGGGTGACGATTGCTGCTGTGTGATCCCAAATGAGTGATTTGTGGGTAATTTTCGAATTTGCCAAACTTGGTAATTGGTGGTTGTGCCGTGTGTTTTTCGGCACAATGTCCGACGTTTCGCCCCGCCAGCTGTATTTATAGTAACTACAGTACTGTACTTATTCACTCAGGATACCCACTCTTGAGTCCAAAGTCATTTTCAGAAGGGTCCTGCCACGTTGGGATGTTTTGGAAATGCCAGTTAAATTGTGGTTTATTTAGCAGTGGTATGAAACCGGAGAACCCGGAGTAAACCTATGCAGAACAAGGGAAGAACATGCACACTCGACTTGCTCATACACTCATTCATACTGTAAAATGAGCACACAAACTCTGCGCAGAAAGGCACCTGGGTCAGGAATAGTACCCAGGTGTCCCTTTGTGCCGAACAACACGGCACGTCGCGAAAATTCAACGGGGAGCTGCAGAGGACAGCCGCAAAAAACACGTGCGCCGTGGTGTAACAGTCGGGCCTGGGTTAGGCTGTTGCCGATGGTTCAGGGTACCGTTCAAGGTTAATAACGGTGCATTTTAAAATACAAATCTAGTATCCGTGTCGTGAATTTGGCAGTGCGTTTATCCAGGGTGAATGCTGCGTTTTCGTTTACCTAGAGGCACCAAATGGCCTTGGCATGGTTATTATTCGGGGGGAAAAGACAGAGGCGTAGCTAGGGGGAGGCAGTTGGGTGCATATGTCCCCGGGCGCCAAGGTAAAGGGGCGCCAAAATGAGGCTTACAACGTTACATTATAACTTATTGCGGCGGGCGCGGCAGCCTGAAACTACTGCACAAATCTACACCTCAACCTAAAAGTTTATATATCTTGCCACACACAGCCTACATGTCATGTAATTACATTTTGGTACGCGCGCCTATTAAGAACTTGCATGGAAGAACGTCCCAAACAACAGACAGGCGCAGTCTTTCAGCCTTAGTCACTGGCCTGTTTTTTGGTGGCGGAAACTACTACGGCCTGAAACACGCTGGAGTGCACGATCAGAAGCTGTTAAAGCTATCTATGAAGGACTGGATGAACTAGTAGGGCTGCTAGACAAATTATCGGAGGACGTAACTATGACGCCTGAAACCAGAAGTGATGCAGAACAGGCATGCGTATTAAATTTTAACTTCATAATTTTATTACATTTCTGGAATGTCATTCTTGGAAAAATTGATCATGTTCAGAAGCGCTTACAGGATCCTACTATGAATTTCAAGGAAGCAGCAAATGATCTTGAATCTTTGGAGCATGAATTTGTCAAGCTTCGTGATGATTTGAGCCAAGTTGCTGTAGAAAACGCCAAAACAAGATGCACAGCCTGGGGGATCGATGTGGACAGAAGAATTAGGCGACGTCAGAAGATGCCAGGAGAACTGGCAAGAGATGCAGGACTTTCAGCAGAAGAAGAAATTGTGCGCGTTATGAAGAGCGTATTTTATCGACTTCAACAGGAGATGTCAACACGGTTTTTACGACTAAAAGACCTGAACACGAAATTTGGATTTCTTCTGGACGTCAAAACTCTTCTATCTGACACAGATGTCGATGCAATTCGTCGAAATTGCACAGATTTTGGAAATTTCTATGACACCGACATCAATGGCCACGAACTTTTCACAGAAATTGGAGATTGCAAAATGCTGCTCAGTAACCGGAATGAAGTTCTACCAGAAACTCCTTTGGATCTTCTTGGTTTTATTGTGTTTTATGGAGACGACATTTTTCCGAATTTGCGAATTTCACTGCAAATTTTTATTAACAATAGCAGTTTCAATTGCAAGCTGTGAGCGGTCGTTCAGCAAATTGAAACTTATTTTGTCGCATTTGCGTGCTTCAATGGGACAAGATTGTCTCAGCGATCTTGCTCTTCTTAGCGTTGAAAGAGAAACATTGGAAAAAACAGAATTTGATTACGTGATTGACCAGTTTGCGACAGTGAAATCAAGAAAAATTAATCTTTTGTAGACTATGTCAACCAGTCTACGACAATGACTGAGTGAGCCATGTAATATAATTTCTATAAATTTGCTTCTTTAAATACAATGTTTCATTAAAATTAAAATTATTCCTTATTCGATGTAATAGGAAAATGTGATTAAACGGACGGGGGGGGGGGGGGGGACGCCAATTTTATAGTTCGTCCCCGGGCGCAAAATATCCTAGCTACGCCTCTGGGAAAAGATACGCCCGATGGTAGGACGATGGGAATTCCAAAGTGGAGCAGCGCGTGGGAAGAAGCAGAAGACAGAAGTGATGTAACCTGCGGCGTGCGAGTTAATGAATGCGCACGTTGTGACCTGCAGTGTTGTGGTCGAACACGGTGTGCATGAGATGAGATGAAACATTCTGGCCAACACGGGTGGAGGAATTGTGTCAAGTTTACGAGAACGGCAACCACGGTAGTAGCGATGAAAGAGTGACTTGTGAGACAACGGATTGGCGAGTCCTGGATCGTCGGTCGACCCCACCGAAACTGGTGACGGGGCTGAAGTCAGGCGTCACTCCAGCTGCAGGAGCTCCACGTCGAAGATGAGCGTGGTGTTGGGCGGGATGACCCCGGGGTGTCCCGTCTCGCCGTACGCCATGTCCGGGGTGCAGGTGATGCGCGCCCGCATCCCCAGGCTCATCTGCGCCGCAGGGGTGGTGGTGGTGGTGGGGGTGTGTGACCGCAATCCATACGAGCGACTCTTGTCTGAACCGAGGCTTCTTACAAAACGAGCGCAGAAACATCCTGACCTCGACCCGACGCTGGACGTGTGCACGATCCGTCGGTCGCTGCTTCGATTCGACGGGCACATTTCGTAGATGCCCTCTCCACCTCACCGCCTGTGCCCACCCGGCAGCGGTGTGAATGAATGAGTTCGCGTGTGTGGCGACCGGCAAGCAGGTCGTGTGCGGCGGTGTAACTTGTGGAGTGTCGTTGACAACCACCGCTTCCAAGATCAGGGTCGAATGAAAATGACAAATGACCCTCCAGGACGGGGGTGCTCTTGAGCCCCATCTTGCGGACGTATTTCCGCGAGCAGTGGCAGCACGTGAGCCAGTGACTGCAAGGACTGCACCTTGACACCGGGCTACTTGAGCCGTGCATTATGCCAGGCACCCAGAATACTCAGCCTATTGACGGCCAGAGTGGAATCGGGCATGGGGCAGTGCCGGATTAAACTCGTGCGGGGCATGTAGCATATGTCATAAAGGTGCCCTCAATTATAAAAAAAACTAATATTAAAACATAACTTTTTAACTTGCATAGTAAAGTAATTGTATAATTTTTTTGCTATACAGACATATAATACGACAAATCGCTAACCTTAAACACCCAGTCGTTCATAAAAGTTGAAAGCAGTATATAGTGCTTTAGTAATAGAGCAAGTGCAAAATCACTGAACCGGAATTGATAGCTTGAAAGCATTTAGCGCGTGGCCCGTAGCATATGCTACTTTTGCTACTCGGATAATCCGGCACTGGCGTGGGGTGATGGATGGATCTCCGTGTTGGGGAATTCGAAACTGAATGCAAGTCTCTGCTGCCCTTTCCTGTGGCTCATAAAAACGTCTGCAGGATTCATAACGCTAAATTTGGATGGTGTCGATTTGGCGCAGCAAGGGGGCACAACATCACGTTCCATGCTGCCGCAGCTGCCGGATCAAGGACATCGTTCCCGTCAGTTTCAGATGGTGGGCAAGGCTACGGCGCGAATTGAATTGGCCTCTCGTGACTATCAGGCGACATTTGAACCCAATTGACAAGTTCATGCCGGTTGCTGTGGTTCCGTTAAGTCGAGGCGGAGACCTGAACCTGGCTTCAATAGCCACGTGAAACAAACCAAACTGGATTTGTTCCGCTCTTTTTTTTACTTTATTCGTGAACGGCAACAGCTGTGTTGCCATCTGTCGAACGGGGTTTGACCCAGAACAGATTAGGCGTCTGTGTACGAGTGGCAGGAATTGATTTGTACCGAGGTCCGGTACCGGTCTTGGAGACTGCACAGTGTCGATAGACCTCGTGCTGCCGGAGAAATGCGTCCGGCGTTTGGTCTGCAGTGGAAACGGTGGCGACCCAAAACCGTTGCCACAAAGAGGGGGTAAACTGAGAGCTGGAAAGACGAGTCTGTGTTGTTGATTCATCGACTCAGAATTTTCATCCACAACTCTTGTCAATTATCCTGGTCCTGGCGGCAACTCCCACGTCAAGCCTCCCAACCAATCTGGAGATCGTGCCAGAGTCGGTGCTCCCTCCTTCCGTCAGCAATCGGCGGGAGAAAGCCATTGCAGGGCTGCACCTTTACCCTTTTATGTACCCTTAGGCCTGCCACCGTGCGGTCTGCGTACATTTGCACGTGCCGGTTGGTGCATCTGTTACCTTAATTCTACTGGAATCGATCACTGGTTCACGGGTGTGGGAACCGCTCATCAATTCTGAACACGGGATTCCAGTTTGCCGATGTACTGCTGAGTCAGTCGCCCCACACTTAAACGCGCGGAGGCGTTCCCGCGGGGTTGTGTGCGCACTGTGGTGCCACGGAACGAGTCCATTAAATACGGAGGAAGGGTTACACAGGCGTGACCCTCGTCTAGCACAGTGGGAAGCAATGCCAGACAATGACCAACCACTGGAAAGCGTCGATTCCATAGGTCGAGCATGGCGGGGTAGAGATGCTGAGGGGTTGAGCACAGGGATTGAAGCATGGGGTTGAGGATGGGTTGGAGGCGTGTGCTTGAGCGTGGGGTCGAGCATAGATTCCAGCATGCAATCGGATTCGCCATTCTCTCGATTCCTTGGCGTGGGCAAGCAGGCGCACACCCCGAGTAACCTTATTTGGACATGACACTTTGTACGGCGTTATCGTAACGTGGGCCTCTAAGGGACGTACGAAGCAAGGATTGCGAAGGCAAATGGAGAAATGGCAGGATTTAACAACGTATACAGAAGCAATCAAATTTAGCTACACCGCCAAGCTGAGCATCTGAAAAAAATACATGCGTTTTCTGCACAGCGTTGTATGCCTGCGATACTTGGATACCAAAAAAATACTGACAGGGGAAAAATACTGACATTTTAAATGTACTGCTACAGGAGGATTACCGCATCTTAGTTGGACACAGAGTGACAAACGTAGAAGTAAGAAAAAGGCTGCACACAACAGAAGACTTGATGCAATTGATAATGAGTAGGGAACTGAGCTTGTTTGGGCCAGATATGCAGGATGTAGAACAACAGAGAAAAAAAACTACTGATGGGAATAATGGAGGGAACTGGAAGAAGAGGAAGACCCTGTAGATAATGGCTGGATGACATAAGTGATTGGTGCCAGAGAGGGTGTGCATGGCCTCAGCGTGTTGGCACAGGATAGAGGGAAGTTTAAACAAGTGACAACATTGCAGGGGACACCTACGGCTTTCTCCCCATGGAGTTTAATTGAGGCCCCCCGCATTCCAGGGACTCGTTGTATCGCTTTCCAGCTCGTGCCACTCACCTGGCCCACGCCCTCCTCCCAGCCCTTGATCACTTGCTGCTTGCCCAGCGTGAAGCGGAACGGCTTCTTGCGATCGCGCGACGAGTCAAACTTCTTCCCGTTGCGGAAAGTTCCTACACGCGAACATTGCACACAGTGTAAATGGAATCGCTGGTGGCGGAGCGGCTCCTTGCCATGGCAGTGATGGCACGGAAGGCGGGAGTGATGCTGCCGCTATGGGTCGAACACCACCAGCGTGGGGTCGTCCAACACAGTGGGCAGCATCGTCAGGGCTTGCTCCTCGGTCCACCTCAATGTATACATATATAATTTTGACTTGAAACTTTCGTGACTGCAGGAATTAATATTATTTGATTCTTTGGGTAAAGTCACGTAGATAGAAAAATAATGATAAAGTTAATAAAAAAAATGAAAGTGTTTTTTTAGTTTTTTACACTAATGTTTTTTATTTATTAATTTTTATTTTTATTCACTTTATTTTTATTAGTATTTTTCTATCTATGTAACTTTACCGAAAGAACCAAAGAATATACATATATCATGTTTGTAATTGTATTGCATGCAGTCGTGATCCCACACGCGTGCATAATAAGACGCCGTTCGTGCATTCGATCACGCGAGACGGCGGCGGACGTGGTGGCTACGTCGCACGTGGCTGCCTGTGACCCAGCACCGTGGAGTCAGCAGCAGCGAGGGTTGGTGGACTACCGCACAAATTCACAAATTATTGACAAACTCCCTGCCTGCGATTTTGGTCGCCTTCCCAAAGCTCTCCCCCCCTGCGCTGCGGTGGCGAGATGTTAATTCCCTCGCCTGGTATACAGGAAGCCGTGGGTTTGATCCCAACCCGGTCGCGTGGATTTTTCTCCGGTTTCTCCAGTTTTTCCCTCCAAATTTAGAAACATGCCTTTAGAGTATTTGGATGATAAAAATTTCCACGTAATAAATCACTTCATTGGGCTATCATTTGATTACTGTGACATCGTATATAAATCAGCTCATAGTACTGTACTGAAGAAGCTTGACCCAATTTATCACTCGGCCTTAAGATTTGCATTGAACTGCCCATATAGGATCCACCACTGCGATCTCTACATTAGTTCAAACTTAACATTTCTTAATGATCGACGGCTTGTGCATCAGATCTTATTTATTCACGATGTACTTACAAAAAAATCAGCAGACTACCTGCTGGATCTCCTTATTGTTTCGAAGAACAAATGTGACCTAAGGTCTTCGCTCATTACCAGCTTCACATTCCTTATTGCTGTACAAATACTGGAGGAAGGTCCTTTGCTGTTGATGCCCCTAGGGTCTGGAATGCTGTCGCCAATAAACTGCAACTTGGATCACTACCTGTGATATCTGCATTCAAAACTGCTCTTGAGGAGCTGTACACCCCCCGCTGCCACTGCTATGCAGTGGCCTGAAATCAAATGCACCGCTCCGGATGTCCGCTGCAAAGTATGATCTTGAGTTTCGATTATAGCGTGCTGATCTTTAAAGGTGCATTGAAAAACTCCTGCTGATACTCCTGCTATTATGGAGTGACTCATGCTGCCAGCTATGGCTGCAAAGTTTGTTCGTATATGTTATGAATATCGTCTATTGTTAAATTTGAACCACGGTTCCTATGATCACTGTTACATTGTTTTTATAGACTTATTTTGGTGATATTCGAAAACGTATGGTTAAGCCATGTGTGTTTGTTGAAGTACGGAGTTAGCCTGATAACTTTATCTAAATTGTCTTATGGTTGTTATTGTTCGACTTGCATCCCATTGGGATTTTTGCACACAGCGTTGATATACGATGCTTTTGTCTGGAAGATTTTACTGGTTTTCTTGATTGTTTCTGTTGCGCGTCGTCACTTTAAGATGTTCTTTGTTCATGTTTTGTTTGTTGCGGTTGCACCCGAGTCAAGAGCCTCATGGCTCACAGGGCAATACCTAATAAATGAAACTGAAACTTAAAACTGAAATTTGTGGCCAGATCGCTTCTGAAAAATAGCTACCATATAGCTCAGTGGGCCTTATATGGTAAAATAGTTTAGTTTTTTTTGTATCGCGCCATCGACCACGATGACTTCAACAAGTCTCTCACGTCTCCTGAAATCCACCGTGCACGATTCCCATGCCAAATTTAAGTAAAATGACCTCTTGGTCACAAACTGCACGCGCTCTCTCGCTCGCTCACTCGCTCGCCACGTGAGATGGGCCTGCCGACATTTAAATAGCCACACGGCGATCGTCGATGCCAAAGCAGCTGCTCGAGGCTGTCCCCAGGGGGTATCGCGGCAGCGCCTATAATTGGCAGCGACTCGCGCAGTGAAACGGAGTGATGTGGCGTGGCCACTCGGCCGTGGTGCGTGGGGCGGGGGGTGGACCGTGCGGGAGGTCCCCGCTGAGCCGTTCGGCTTCGTGGGCTCCGCGTCTCGCTGCCCGCGCTGTGCCGCCTGGGAGCGCTGCGCTGTGTTTGTGTGCAACCACGCGACGTGTTTCGCGTTACTCGCGTTAGCCGGGGGGGGGGGGGGGGTTGTCTGCAGTGTGCGCGGCCGCACGATCGCGAGGGATTGCGAGGGATTGCGTGGGGTTGCGTGGGGTTGCGTAGGGTTACGTGGGATTGCGTTGCTTCCTTGCGGATAGGCCACCCTGTCCTAGGATTGTCACCTGATCTCTCATAATGTACTACGTACCTTATCTTGAACTTCTTCTGCGCCGCACGTAGCCAACCATACTCGTTGGAGGTGCGGGGGATGGACAACAAACTAAAGACAAAACGCAGTTTCTAAAGATGTAAGTTTTCAATTTAGAATTTAGAATGGCTGTCCTCTGAACAATGATGCACGACTTGTTCGCGTCGTGTTGCATTCACTCGGGTTTGCCGTAACATCGCTGCCGTATTCTCCGGATTGTAAGATGCTGCGCCCCGTCTCAAGCCGCGCTGCGAGAGCCCTGGGGCCGATCGCGACGGGAGTGCGTCGCCATGGTTTGTACCTCGACATTCGTTCCCCCTTTCCATCGCAAATGTTTTTGTTGTTTTGGGGCCATATATTTGGCAAATATGAATAGATTTCACCATTTCTTGCAATGAAACAGGAGGTGGTAAGATGTACAAAAACCAAATAGAAATATTTTGCAAGGAATCAAGTCTGCATTAACCACGCGAACTTGTGGTGAACATGCAAACAAACATGCTCTGATAATATATGGCATTGTCTTTGAAACTGATTGGCCTACACCAGACAGCCTGATTTCGGGCGTAGTCTCACTAGTATCAGACCAGATAACTTTGATACTGGCAAAAAGGTTCTATTTTTATTCGGCAAATGTTTTTACAAATAGTTTTGTTATTATTACTATCAAAATATCACCAGCAATGGTCGAAGGCAACCCCCCCCCCCTCAAGTAGTTACAGATACACCCTGGATTCGGGACTATAAACTACGGGAGAACCGAATATCACCTGGAATTCAGGTCATAATAAGCATAGGAAGCCCATTAACATAGCCAACCAATTAACAAAAAGGCAGCTAATTAATGTATCTCTCTCATATCTGCATCTACGTCTGTATCTTCTCTCACCGCACTCGCTGTCCGGTCCCCTCTTCACTGGGTGTTCAACTCAGGGCCACCTTATCGGTGTCGAACCGCGCGCCTCAAGCGGCCGAACGTGCCGCCCGCTTGGCCATTTCGTCGCGCGTGCACGAACTGAACGTTGCGTTAAAGTCGTCCATTGTGATGTCATCGCAGCAGCAGCATTATCATCATGATCAGCCTCTGTGGGAGTCGTGACCGAGCGGTGATTCCCGCGCTGCGCGTCCGCACTCACCCGTGTAGTGCACCACGCACTGCTGCCCTTTCTTGGGGAAGGTGCAACCTGCGGAGGGTGAGAAATCAAGTTCCTTGGTGATGTGGCCATCCCGCACGTCGAGTCTCAGCAATGCAGCGGTCGGCCGACGGATTGTCTCCTACGTGGCCTCCCCGCTGGGATCCATCGTCCCCAGCAGGGGCCGGCAACCTGCGGCTCCGGAGCAGCATGTGGCTCTTTAAGGACTGCTTCGTGACGCGTATTTATTTAAGGACACCACCGTCTCTCGTATTCCCCACTTGCACCGCGGATCTTGAAATATGGTTTGGGGTTACCGAATTTAAAAAAAACATCTTCTTGTTGCTTTGGCTGCCGATCACTGGTCCTCAAGAGTCCAGGTGACCCAGAACGCCTATGCCAGACTCGCCACCCCGCGTGCCTAAGAGTTTGTGTAATGTTTGTTGTTGTAACGTTCTTACCCGCCACTACTGGACATCTGTGAGAAGGAGCTTTATAGCTCATCGGATTCCTCCTCCAGTGTAAATATTCGGATTCTGAGTGGAGTCGCCCAGCGCTCCTGGACCCATGCACTGGATCCCAATTCAACCCCGGATTAAGTTCAAGACCTCACCGTCTGCAAGATCATCCAAGAGCTCACTCCTGCCTGTCTATACATTCCACCGTATTTTCCACATAAGAAGACGATTTTTTTTGCCTCTGCATTTTTGAACAAAGGTTAGGGGGTGCGTCTTATAATGCGATACGAGCGTGTTGTGTGTTCGTGCCGTTGTGTTGTATGTGTGTGTGTGTTAGTGTGTGCGGGGAGCGGTGGTACAGTGGTTGGTTGCACTGCGCTACCAACCTGGCGACCCGAGTTCGATTCCCGCTATAACACCAATACCAGTGACGATTATCTGAACCGGTCCTCTCCTAGGTCGACTCTGCCTTAAACAAGTACTTGGTGCGGGTGTGTAAACATCGCCACAAACATCGCCACTGGGGAAACGAAGTGCGGCCGAGCGTGGTGCTGGCCACCCACCCCCTCGCGTGCCATGCCGGCCTTCATAAATGCTCGCTAACAGCGCTTGCCCCAACAGTCTGCTACAGGCTATGATGGTGCGGCGTGTGATGGAGTGTGATGGTGTGTGATGGTGTACGATGGTGTAATAATGAGTGAACAACTTCCATGCAATGACGTCAGATCTCGGTACACAATCAATCCCTGCCGCTGCTGCTGGTGGTGCCACCCGACCGCAGTTCAGGATCAGGCCCAATACCAGGACTGTCCAGATCAAACTTAGAATACCACCGTTCCGGATTAAACCCGGACAGGTAGCAACCCCAAGTAGACTAACACCGCAGGTGGCGCTGTTTGGGATCGTCGTGATTTCCGCCCCTTGATTCACCACGCGAGGTTATTTGCGAAACTCATTGCAGGGTTGGTGTCGCCGCATCTATATCTAACGTAGATTCTCACAAACTCCACGGTGAGCGTTATCGCATCTCCGTTCGTGAGACGTTGCTTTCCATACGCAGGCTTCCACCGCCGATACGAGTCAATGGCAATGTTTTAGTCTTCCTATCCTTGTGTGAGCTCTGAATCCCGGAACCTCACACAGTAACAAACGCAGGGCCACCGTGAAACTACCCTCCGCGCGACTCAACTCGTTTCACTTTTAACATAGCAAACCAATTAACATGAAGGCAGCCAATTAATTTTGTTTCTCTCATATCTCTCTATCTTCGTCTGTATGTCTTCTCTCACCACACTCGCTGTCCCGTCTCCTCTCCACAACATCGCTCTCGTTGCAAAACATCCGTCTCTCGTCTACACCTCTGTCATTTCACCACACCTCTATCTCACATCTATCTCTTATCTCACTGAATCTCTTCTCTCGTGTCTATACATCTCAGTTCACCACATCTCTATATCACATATGTATATCTCCTGTTACCTCAATGCATCTCGTTTCTCGTGTATATATTTCTTAGTTCACATCTCTGTATATCTCCTGTCATCTCAATACATCTCTACGTCTTATCTATCTCTCTCAGTTCAGTACATATCCATCTCTTATCCGTACCCCGTTCTCTCCCACGAGACCTCTACCGATTGTCCACATCTCTCGCTCATCTCGCTACATCATCTTTATCTCTTGTCTACATCTCAATATCTCTCTACATCTCGCCTCTACATCTCCCCTGTGATCTCGCGAGGTAGGTGCGGGGTTGTACGCTCGAGAGGGCGGATGCATGCGCAGCGACGCTCACCATCACCGGGAGACATCTCCTCTACGTCCACCCCCATGGCCGAGGAAGCGCGGAGTTCGCGGAGCTAAGAAGTGCCGGGAGCTCCGTGCAGAGCGCCACTCAAATGCCGCTGAACTATCTCCTCTCTCGATCCCGTCTCTCGATCCCCCTCTCTCTCGAGACCCACAGCGACCAAAATAGCAACTCCCCCCCCCCCCTTCTCGTCGCACCCCCACCTCCCTCCCCCCACCCCATTCCATCTCAGGCTCCTCATCCCCACGTTGACACTTTTATATTTTTCCACTTCTCTCATTCTTGCCTCCCTCCCTCCGTGGCAGCCGCCCTGTTTTCCTGGCATCAACGATACTCTCCACCCAGTGCCTGATTATCCCAGTAGCAAAAGTAGCTACATAATGCTACGGGCCCCGCACTTTTAGGAGCCCCGCGCTAAATGCTTCCAAGCTATCAATTCCGGTTCTGCACTTGCTCTATTACTATAGTATTCTACCGCCTTTAACTTTTACGAACGACTGGGTGTTTAATGTTAGCGATTATCTGGCTGTATAGCAAATGAAAAAATGCGATTACTTTACTATGCAAGTAAAAATGCTATTTTAATATTAATGTGTTTTTTTAATATTTAGGGCCCCTTTATAACATCACATGCTACAAGCCCCGCACTAGCTTAATCCGGCAGTCTCTTGCTCGTGAGACGCCGCTGGATGCACAGAAGGCGGCGCAGAGGTAACTAAACCAAAGCCGCTGCACTCGCCGCACGGAAGGCGGCGTGGATTGCCTGCCAAGTTCTTTCGTTGATTTCACACAGCATTCCCTCACCACAATCCGCTGCTACCGATGATCACATCCCGTGCCATTTGACACTGGAGGCTGGGTCTGAGTCTCTGCGGCAGCTGAGAGAGTGCGAGTGAACGCGGCGTCGGTGCCGTTGCAACGAGCGGCACGAATACTCGGCAGGCGATTCGCTGACCTGTCACATTATTACTTGTCACATCACTGTCTCTTAAACATGTTTACACATCCCAACAGACACTACGGCCTCCTTCTGGGAGTGCAGAGTCTTAGCAGCATTGGTTCAACACCAGCAAACGCTGCGCCGGTTTCAACTTTCAGAGTATCATCAGCAGCGTCAGGCTGGCTTGTATTGGTTCAACACCAGCAAACTCTGCGCCGGTTTCGACTTTCAGAGTCTCATCAGCAGTCAGGCTTGCTCGAATGCTGAACTGCCAGACGGCGTTGATAGGCAGCGTCCCAATTTAACAAAATAAATTTTATTCTTAACTTCACTGAAGACGTATTTGTAGGTATCATTGGCCATGCTCTGTCTATTGCTAGATGGATATCTCTCCCAAAGTTGCCACCGTGCTACCTTGCGATGCAACAATGCGCCTGCACATCGAGTTGGGTCCCCATCGCTCCATCTCCGTGATGGTGTTACTCCCTCTTCTCCGTGCGGCGTTTCCCGCTTTCGCCTGCCAGTCTGTGGCCAGTCTCGACCATCGGTCCAGATCCCTGCTCGCCATGGCGTGTCCTGCTGCTGCAAGCCCCCCACCCCCTCCATGAACATGCAAAGTGTAACACTAGACCTCAATTGTCACCTCGTAATGTCATGTGTGTGTTGAACTTCTTTCACGCCGCACGTAGCCCGTGATCTTACATCTTCGACTCGTTCGCTCGCTCTCGTGGAGAATGAGAACGATTCGGAGGAGTGGAGGAGGAGGAACCACAGACGAGTGGAAAGGCAGCAGCAGCAGCAGTCAGCCACGCGGCCTCAAATTATAACACAAGCTCTGCGGTCCTCCACATATGGAGGCGGCACGCCGGGGCCACAGCGCGCCCCTTCCATTCCATCTCCTGACGCGGCAGTTCAATGAAGGGGGCACGCTTCTCAAGTCCCTCCCAACGCAGTCTACGCTCGGCAGTTCGCATGAGGTGGGGTAAAGTGTGGGTACTGCGACGCCTTCCAAGAGGCCAACTTTCTAGAGGGGCTCCCTGGAGCTCCTCTCTCCCCACAGGTCGCCCCCTGCTCGTCCGAACCCCAGCAGCTCCGACTGGGGTCCGGCTCCGGGGGGGAGGGGGGGCTTGGGGTCCGCGGGGACTTTCGCCCCCTCTGGCGGGCCATGGCATACGAGATATGGAGAGACGAGATGAAGAAATGAGAGGATGATGAAAAATACGAGATATGGAGAGATGAGACGGAGAGATGAGATACATGAAAGATAGCGAGATGTATGAAGGGAGAGATGGACACAGAGATGGAAATATAGATATTGAAGACGCTAGATGGGTAGAGATGGAATGAGAGAGGTTCAAGAGATGGAGAGGGTTCCGAACATTGCTCGGTCTCGTGTGGGAATTCCCCCACACCCCAAGCAGTGAATCGTGAATTCCTCGCGGTGACTCTGAGCCACTCTCTCCGCCTCTCTCTCTCTCCCTATCTCCTTCCCGCTCTCTCTCTCTCTCCCCGCTATTGCCCCTCCTCTCCCTGCTTCTCTCTCCCCTCCCTTTCCCCATCCCTCTCCCCGCCTCTCCCCTCCATCTCGCTCTCCTTTCCTCCCGCCCTCTCCCTGCTTCTCCCTCCCCCTCTCTCCCTTTGCCCCGCCCCCTCTGCCCCGCCCTCTCCCTTCCCCCTCCCCTCTGCCCCGCCCTCTCCCTCCCCCCTCCCCCTCTGCCCGCCCCCTCCCCCTCTGCCCCGCCCTCTCCCTCCCCCTCTGCCCGCCCCCTCCCCCTCTGCCCCGCCCTCTCCCTCCCCCTCTGCCCGCCCCCTCCCCCTCTGCCCCGCCCTCTCTCTCCCCCTCTGCCCGCCCCCTCCCCCTCTGCCCCGCCCTCTCCCTCCCCGCCCTCCCCCTCTCCCTCCCACTCTCCCCCTCTGCCCCGCCCTCTCCCTCCCCCTCTGCCGGCCCCTCCCCCTCTGCCCCGCCCTCTCCCTCCCCGCCCTCCCCCTCTCCCTCCCACTCTCCCCCTCTGCCCCGCCCTCTCCCTCCCCCTCTGCCCCGCCCTCTCCCTCCCCCTCTGCCCGCCCCCTCCCCCTCTGCCCCGCCCTCTCCCTCCCCCTCTGCCCGCCCCCTCCCCCTCTGCCCCGCCCTCTCCCTCCCCCTCTGCCCGCCCCCTCCCCCTCTGCCCCGCCCTCTCCCTCCCCGCCCTCCCCCTCTCCCTCCCACTCTCCCCCTCTGCCCCGCCCTCTCCCTCCCCCTCTGCCCGCCCCCTCCCCCTCTGCCCCGCCCTCTCCCTCCCCGCCCTCCCCCTCTCCCTCCCACTCTCCCCCTCTGCCCCGCCCTCTCCCTCCCCCTCTGCCCGCCCCCTCCCCCTCTGCCCCGCCCTCTCCCTCCCCGCCCTCCCCCTCTCCCTCCCACTCTCCCCCTCTGCCCCGCCCTCTCCCTCCTCGCCCTCCCCCTCTCCCTCCCACTCTCCCCCTCTGCCCCGCCCTCTCCCTCCCCCTCTGCCCGCCCCCTCCCCCTCTGCCCCGCCCTCTCCCTCCCCCTCTGCCCGCCCCCTCCCCCTCTGCCCCGCCCTCTCCCTCCCCGCCCTCCCCCTCTCCCTCCCACTCTCCCCCTCTGCCCCGCCCTCTCCCTCCCCCTCTGCCCGCCCCCTCCCCCTCTGCCCCGCCCTCTCCCTCCCCGCCCTCCCCCTCTCCCTCCCACTCTCCCCCTCTGCCCCGCCCTCTCCCTCCCCCTCTGCCCCGCCCTCTCCCTCCCCCTCTGCCGGCCCCTCCCCCTCTGCCCCGCCCTCTCCCTCCCCGCCCTCCCCCTCTCCCTCCCACTCTCCCCCTCTGCCCCGCCCTCTCTGCCCGCCCCCTCCCCCTCTGCCCCGCCCTCTCCCTCCCCCTCTGCCCGCCCCCTCCCCCTCTGCCCCGCCCTCTCCCTCCCCCTCTGCCCGCCCCCTCCCCCTCTGCCCCGCCCTCTCCCTCCCCGCCCTCCCCCTCTCCCTCCCACTCTCCCCCTCTGCCCCGCCCTCTCCCTCCCCCTCTGCCCGCCCCCTTCCCCTCTGCCCCGCCCTCTCCCTCCCCGCCCTCCCCCTCTCCCTCCCACTCTCCCCTTCTGCCCCGCCCTCTCCCTCCCCGCCCTCCCCCTCTCCCTCCCACTCTCCCCCTCTGCCCCGCCCTCTCCCTCCCCGCCCTCCCCCTCTCCCTCCCACTCTCCCCCTCTGCCCCGCCCTCTCCCTCCCCCTCTGCCCGCCCCCTCCCCCTCTGCCCCGCCCTCTCCCTCCCCGCCCTCCCCCTCTCCCTCCCACTCTCCCCCTCTGCCCCGCCCTCTCCCTCCCCCTCTGCCCGCCCCCTCCCCCTCTGCCCCGCCCTCTCCCTCCCCGCCCTCCCCCTCTCCCTCCCACTCTCCCCCTCTGCCCCGCCCTCTCCCTCCCCCTCTGCCCGCCCCCTCCCCCTCTGCCCCGCCCTCTCCCTCCCCGCCCTCCCCCTCTCCCTCCCACTCTCCCCCTCTGCCCCGCCCTCTCCCTCCCCGCCCTCCCCCTCTCCCTCCCACTCTCCCCCTCTGCCCCGCCCTCTCCCTCCCCGCCCTCCCCCTCTCCCTCCCACTCTCCCCCTCTGCCCCGCCTTCTCCCTCCCCCTCTGCCCGCCCCCTCCCCCTCTGCCCCACCCTCTCCCTCCCCGCCCTCCCCCTCTCCCTCCCACTCTCCCCCTCTGCCCCGCCCTCTCCCTCCCCGCCCTCCCCCTCTCCCTCCCACTCTCCCCCTCTGCCCCGCCCTCTCCCTCCCCGCCCTCCTCTCGGCGGCGCTGCTCCGGAAGCGATCTCCGCCGTCGCCCCGGCACCGGACGACGAGGAGAAGCCGCGAGCCCCACACAGAGAGACAGAGCGGAGAGACGAGGACGAGTAGCAGCGGGAGACGAGGACGAGGAGAGACGAGAGACCGGGAGACGACGAGGAGCAGCGGGAGACGACGAGGAGCAGGAGGAGGAGGAGATGGCTGAGGAGGCGCTCGCATCATTCATGGCGGTGACCGGCGCGGACGAAGCGCGGTCCCGGTTCTACCTCGAGCTGTCGGGCGGGGACCTGCAGGTGACCAGCAGGACGCGGGGGGCCTCGAGGATTAGGGGTGTCTGGGGGGAAGAGGGGGGGCCTGGGGGGATGAGGGGATACTGGTTAAGGGAGACGAGGGGATGAGGCACCCCAATTCCTGACTCATTGTGGCCTAGCGTGAGACGGGGGCG